GATGAGGACCATGCAGACCAGAGACGTGTTGTGGCCTGTCCAGGGTCTCACAGCGTAGGATGTTGGGGAACTAGAGCCAGCTCTCCGCCGAGAGCTGGAGAAGCGCTGGCTGCCTGGAGTGTCCGGGTGCAGCTGTGAAGCGCCCTCAACAGCAGGGGTGACGGTGCTGCAGTGGGAGTCGGAGGGAGGGGGGCCGTGGGAAGGGGCAGGCCCTGCCTTCAGGACCTGAGAGCTGGTGCGGCTCAGATGCGGCAAGCTGACCCTCTCTGGTAGTCCCTGCCACGCTTTGAGCCTGTTTTTCCCATCCACGAAGGGATTCCTACATCCCCCGTGTTGGCTCTCTCTCAATACAGATGTATTGAACCTGCCCCCAGTGCTGGACCCTGAGGTTACAGAGAGGAGCCAGACACGGGCCCTGCCCTGCAGGGGTGTAGGCTGGGCCGGGGAGGTGGATAAGTCCTACGCAGATGGGGCATGATGTAATGGGTGCCGTCACAGACTTTCCCGTCCTGTGGAGGGGGAGAGGAGACGGGCTGGGGGTGGGAGGGAGGCACTTGGGCTGAGCCTTGAAAGATGACCGGTTCCCCGGGTATGCACATGTGGAAGGAACGGTGCGTGCACAGGCTCCGAGTAAACAGCTACAGGAACTGCAGGGGGTTCGGAGCACTGAACGTGGCGTGGAGAATGGTAGGGGTGGGGTGAGCTTGGCAGGGGCAGAGGGAAGAGGGCTGCTGAAAGCAGCTGGGAAACTCGGACTCTCCTGTCAGTGCGGGTTCACACACAGTGTGAAGACGTTCAGAAGCGGGGTGTGCCATGCTCCAAACTCAGGCCCAGAGAGAAGAGCCCCGAGAAGAGCCCCCAGATCTGGAAGCCGGCTTTCCTGACTCTTGGTTTCCCCGCGGCCTTCAGCAGTGATGCCTGCAGCTATGGGGAGGGGGGGGGGGGCAGAGCTCATTTTGACTCCATGACCCCGTGGGAGTGTTGACTCAATGCGTGGAGTGGGAGGTATTCTTGGGGCATGCCGAAGGTGTGAGAGGACAGTCGCCATGAGGTACAAGCTGTGCAAAGAAAGGCTGGGGCTGAAGAGCCTGGCCTAAGTAGGCTGGGGCAGCCTTGCTGGCAGGGGTGAGGCTGGAGAGATGAGCCAGGGCTGGACCTTCAGCCAGGCCTGGCCCCCATTCTCCTGGCCTGGGCCCAGCCAGGCTTTCCTGTTTCCGGCCTCCCTGGGAGCAGAGCCTCCTGGGAGTGTTGACCACCATGTGGCCTGGAGGGCCACCAGAATCTTCATTCTCCGTGACCTGGCTGTGCCGCCTCAGCCAGCTTGCTCCCTCTCCCTGGGCCCTCTGGGCTCTGAATTCGGAATTGCTAGAGCTGATTTCTGGGATCCTGCTTTCAGCTTCTTTGATCTCATTCTTACAGCTTTAATTGCTTCCTGACCAGGCCCTGCTGGAAGCTGTGATGCTAATGACTCCCCTGAGTGGCTGTGTGTCAGAAGTCCAGGGGCTGGCTCTCCAGGCTCCCCTCTTCTTTCCCTAAGGCCTCCCAGGCTGAAAGTGTTTGGGGCCTTCCTGGAAGAGGCGGGGCCAGAGAGGTTAAGTGGTTGGCCTGAGGTCACACAGCAGCGGAGCAAGCAGGCCCCGTATGGATGAGGGGCAGAAGGTGAAGCGGCCGTGTGTCCTTCCCTGCTGCCCCTCCGAGTTCCACACTCACCGCCCATCTCACCTCCTGCCCTTCCTGCTACTCCCTTCCCCGTCACATCCCTCGGCTTTCCCTTCCCGTGAACTTGGCGCAGCCATAGTGTGTGGAATCAGCCCTTTCTCCTGTGCCACGGGGTCACCAGACCAAGGTGGAGGCACCAAAAGATGTGAGTTCAAGTCCAGGCTCTGCCATGGAATGTGGGCAAGGCCCCTCCTCTGAGTCTCAGTTTTCTTTCCTGAAAAATGGACGCGATGAACGACTTCCCAGCACTGTTTTCCTATACTGCCTCTTGCCTGCTGGGTTGCACGTGGCAGGTGCCGGAGAGACGGAGCTGCTCCCTTGGCAATGAGAGGTGACTTGTGTCCTCCTCTTCTCATCCCCCTCTCTCTGGCCTGCTAAGCCGTTTTCTCAGCAATGGCATCTTCCAGTTCTTAAAGCAATATCGCTCCCATTGTGGAGCTGAGAAAATGCGCACTCAGAGAGGGAGGCTTGTTCAAGGCCACACGGCAGGTGAGAGGCGCAGTTGGGACTGGCATCCACGTCAGTCTTGTTTTCAAACTTGTGTTCACCCCAGAAGCCAGCATACCTTGCCTCGGTTTCCCTCAGCTGGGCCGGGAAGTCAGGGCCTGTGCCCCAGTGGGATTGCAGTGTTGCCTGGGCAGGCCCCAGGTTGCGTAGACCCGGACGGCGGGGGTGGAGCTCTGCCAGCAGCCCAGATAGAGTCTGAGATACAGGGGCTGTCAGATCCTGGTCCTCTGAGCATGCGTCAGGCCCCTCCCCACCCTGCCCCCCCCCCCGAAGGGCTTCTCTGGCCCTGTCGCTCCGGTCAGTGGCCCTCCAGTTTGGTTACCTGTGGCTACAAGCTTGAGGGGGGTTGCAGGGAGGATGCTGACGTGTACAGCCTCCTTCTGTGTCGATCTCGGTGCAGGGGCCGCATGCACAGGAGGAGCAAACCAAGTGGACCCTGCTCTCTGGGGGCTTCCGGTCTAATGGGTGCTTCCGGTCCTGCTTCCTGGGACCGGAATCCTGGGGAGGTGTGGAGGGAGGCGAAGGGTTTAGTCTGGGATTGATGGCTGTGGGCACCCCGGGACCTCACAGGGGTGGCCCGGTTGGGGGCCTAGAAGAGGGGCCCAGGCTGAACACAGGGAGATGGGGGTCATCGGGCAGAGATGGTGAGCAGAACACGGCTTGGTGCAGCCCCTCAGAGCCCCCAGGGGAAGAGGGAGGCCAGAGGTGGGGGAGGAGCCCCCCAGAGCCCCCAGGGGAAGAGGGAGGCCAGAGGTGGGGGAGGAGCCAGAAGCAGTGCCGTCGCCCCTGGGGACCCAGATGAGACTGTTCAGGAGTGAGCCTTTGTGAGGTCTGGGAGGTCATCAGCGAGAGTCTGGCTTGGGAGGATGGGAGGTTAGGAGTGAGGGACGGGGGGCCTCAGGGGAGGTTAGGTCAGTAGGATTGAGGAGGAGGAGATGTTTATTCCAGAAGGCAGTGCTTGCTGGAGGGTGGGGCTGACAGAGAATGTAAACGATGGATGGCTGGCTGGAGGGGGGCGCCCTCCACGGGGGACAGAAATGTGCCTTTACCACGCGGGGAGGGTCCAGGGGAGAGAAGCTTGGAGGCAGTGCTGCTGCTTTCCTGCGTGTGCGGCACCAGCTAGGGAGCTGCTGAGTCGGCCATGAGCCTGACTCGGCCCTGGCAGGTCTAGGAAAGGCTGGTGACAAAGGAAGGAGCAGGTGGGTGTGGCCAGGCAGCCCCAGCATCACTGTGCTTGTGCCCTTGGCCTGCCTGTGGGCTGGCGCCCCCTCTAAGCATCAGAAATGAGAGGATTCAGGATGTGGAGTCAGGTCAGTTGGTTCCTGTCCCTGTTGTGCAAGTAGCAGCTGTGTCTGTCCCTGCTTCTGAGCCTCTCGGCTCCTGGCCTGTCATCTGGGGATGAGGGGGCCGCTTCACAGGGCCACAGGGAGGGCACACAAGGGTCACCCGACTCCATGTGCCTTGGGTCCTCCAGTCCTCGGTAAGTGATGATCTCCTCACCTTCCTGTCCTCCCAGGTACCCCCGGAGCCACCCACGTCCCCACCTAAGCTCTCTGCTGCCTTGTCTCGGCCTCCCCTGCTGGGGTAGCTGCCACCATGTTCTCGTGTGTGAAGCCCTACGAGGACCAGAACTACTCCGCCCTGAAGCGGGCCTGTCTGCGCAGGAAGGTGCTCTTCGAGGACCCCAACTTCCCGGCCACCGATGACTCCCTGTACTACAAGGGCACCCCGGGGCCCACTGTCAGGTGGAAGCGGCCCAAGGTCAGTGTCTGGTCGCAACCGGAACTGAGGCGAGCAGCCTGCGGGGGACTGGGCGGTGGCTGGTCATCCTGAGGCCCCGGGTGGCTGAGAAAGTGGAGGACCCTCCTGCTGCGGGGTTTCACCTGGATAGGGAGCACGAGCACGGGCCCTGACCCTGTGGCCATCACTGCCTGGCCAGGATTTCGCCCCCTCTCTGGGCCTCAACTTCCTCACAGGGCAAATGGGGCCCTCCGCCCTGCCACCCTTCTCCCAGGGTGGTTTTGGGCCAAAAATGAGGTGAATGTGGATGTGACCTATTTTTAGTAAAATGTAGAGTGACAGTGAAGTGTAAGGAGTTTGCTGATTATTTTTGTGATGGTTTTGGAACAGTCATTTGCTGCAAATGAAAGTATTTATTATGGTAAGTAGTTAATAGTAGTGAAAAACAATAGCACCTGGGGCGCCTGGGTGGGTCAGTCAGTTAAGTGGCCGACTGCGGCTCAGGTCATGATCTCGGGGTCCGTGAGTTCGAGCCCCGCATCGGGTCAGATTTGCATTTTACAAATTTCCCTCCAGCCTCCTAGACATCTTGGGAAAATGGAATTTAGTTTTCATGTCCCTTTCCTAGGCTATGATCTCAAGTCCCTTCCACTTCAAAAAATCCTGTGTATTTTCTTGGACTGGGGTACCTGAGAGGTGGAGAAACTGAGGCCAGAAGGGGGAGGCAATCCCCTGATTGCCCAGGGAGTCGGTAACAGAGCCAGGCTGGGACCCAGGAGTCCTGCCTCGCCTGGCCCTCCACCCTGACACCAGACCTTTCACTTTGGCCCTGTGAGCTGCCTTGATTCTTCAGAACTCCCAGAAGCCTCCTGGCCACAAGATTCTTGCCTCTCAGAACCCCTACCCCCACGCCTTCCTCTTCCTCCTTTGTCTGGTGGGTGGGGAAGGAGGCCAGCCTCAAAGGGCCTTTGTGAGGCCTTGGGTGTGTGTGTGTGTGTGTGCGCGCGCGCACGCGCGCGCGCGCGCACGTGTGTTGGAGGGGGAGACACTTGAGCTCTCTGCCTTCCTCACTCCACCCCTTTGCTGCCCTTGTCCTGCCCTCTGGCCAGCACCCAGACATTTTAGATCTGCGCCTCTGAAGGAGGCTGGCGAGGCATGGCCGGGGAAAGCTGGGCTTGCTGTGCTAGAGGAGGAAATGCCAACATGGCTGGGCTCGGCCTCCCCCTGCTGTGTGATCCTGGTGGAGTCACCTGCCCTCTCTGGGCCCCTTTCCCGGCCAGTTTGGGAGTCCTGCCATGCTGCCCCCTTCTTCACTGCCTTCCCCACTGGGCTTGGTGTCCGGTCCTTTCTAGACACTGAAAGAGGAGGAGCAGAGCTGCCCCTGCCGTGGTGGTTGGTGTAGGCTGGGAGATGCCCGAGTGCAGCTCGGAGGTGGCTGTGGGGGATCAGTTCTGGGTTTGGGAGGCGGTTCAAGGCCAGGCACGGCCGAGTGGTGTTGGATGAGGAGGCCAGACTGTGTGGATCGGGGTGTGCAGGATGGTGGGTGTGTGAGCGGTGCCTGCTGGGTGGTGCAGGCTCGAATATCGGGCAGGCCCTCACCGCACCGTCAGGATGGGCGGTTGGTGGAGCAGAAAGTCAGGCCCGGCTTGCCTCAGGTGGGTGGGGCGAGACTAGCCCAGTGGGGTGACCATGAACTCCCAGCTGTTTGGTTCTTGGCCAGTGAGATGGAACTTTGTCCTGAGGCGGCCGTGTTTCCATGGAGTCCTACTTCCTCGAGCCTGTGACCTGACTGTTTACAAATAGAGCAAAGAGCCCTTTCTGGGCAGCCCCTGGGAAGGCCTTCTTTCTCCCATGTCACCTTCAGCCCCTCTCGTTTAGGTTGGTCAGTATCATGGCCTCTCTGTTCGTGAGGATCTCCTCAGTCAGCCTCCCTCCCTGCTGGCTGCCCTCTTGCTTTCTCCCAAAATGGAATGCGGAGGCTGGTTTTTCATTCAGGTGGACTTGGCCCTCCCTCCCGGCAGGGTCGTGGGAGGTATGACCTTGGCCTTAGTTGCCCCATCTGTAAATGGGGAGAATAACTTGCTGATCATGGTTGCTGGAGGTTGAAAGGACTTGAGGTATCTGTGGTGTCAACACAAGGGGGACACATGACAAACCGGCTCCCTCTCTCACCCACCTGCTCCTTGCCAACCCCGGGTTGAGGACCCAGAGCTCGCCCTGCCTGGAAAGACCCCTGTCTTGTGGGTGGGGCCAGGCCTCGTCCGCCTCATTACCCACCCAGGGCACCTGTCTTATGGCTCACTCCTCTGGGTTCGTTGTTTCTTTGTTCCTTCCAGTTTGGCAAGGCCTGCTGGCCTCCCACAGTCCTGGCCAGGGAGATAAGAGAGGAACACTGTCAGCGAGGCCTGTGACTCAGGGGGAATCCCGAGAGTGTGGAGGTATGAAGGGCTGCCTCCTCTCTCAGGCTCAGGGCCTTAGTAGGGGCCCCTTTTCATCTCTGTGGGGACAGAGTACCTGCTGCCCCATCCAGCCTCTCCCCATCCCTGGAGGATAAGTTTGCATGTAGGTCCTTTGGTGGAACCAAAGGGACCAAAGGGAACCAAAGGGAACAAGTAGGGGTTCCACAAACAGATGTGTTTTAGAACCTCCCTGAATTCTCCCAAGGTGGCCTGGTGGTCCCCAGCCCCGAGCCCTGGGCTCATGTTCATCACGCAAGCACTTGGCGAAGACCCCACTCCTGGGCTGTGCTGGATGGTAGGCCCCTGTGCCATGGAACAGGTAGATTCACCAGGGCCAGCCGTCTGGGCCTCTGCACCACCCCTCCGGAAAAATTCCCTTCTGTGCATGTGCTTGGGTGGCCTAGCAGGAGGGGACTGCTGTGGGAAGAGAGGCGAAGCAGGGGATGGGGGATGGAGAGGCAGGTCTGTTGCAGAGGGGGTGGGGCACAGGCTAGTGCTCCTGAGAACCTGCCCTTTTTTCCTGTGTCCCAGGCAGGCAGAGGGACTGCTTCCTTCCCGGGCCTTTCCCCGGCCGTGTGGTCGATTCCTATCGCGATCTCAGATCCCCAGAGGGAGGTGACAGATGAGCAGGATGGAAGGGGAGGCAGAATGTGCCCTGGGTCCACTGTCTTGCTGCATTCCTGTTTGTGCACCGGGCCTGCAAACCCGAGGTTCTTATTGTGCCCCAGAGGGAGATGGTTCTGGGCTCTGAACTGTGTCCGGTGGAGCCGGTCTGACTGGCTGAAGGCTGAGAGGCAAGAGAGGTGACTGCAGGCGTAGAAGCCGTAGAAAGCGTAGAAGGCCATGCCCCAGAGAGAAATGTGTGGAGGAGAGGAGCTGTCACCTCCTAGCCCTGGGGGACGGCTTGGCCTGGGGCTCACAGCAGTTGCCTGACCGGTCCAGTCCTGTGTGCCACTTTGCCCTCTCTCGCCTACAGCCCCAGCAGAACCTGCCGAGCCCTGCTCCCGGCCCTGGTTGTGGGGTGGGCGGAGTCGGGCCTAGGCCCTGCCCTGGAGCTCGCAGGCCGGTGGGGTGGCCCAAAGGCAAACCTCAGTGTGGACCGTGTGGACGGGAGAGAGGTGGCCGGGAGCCCAGAGGAGCATGGTGTCAGAAGGCGTGCGTCTCAGCACTGTGGCTGGATCCCATCTTGGGGTGAATTTGGAGTCGAGCCTCCCTAGCCACCAACCCTCTCCATGCCTGCTGTGTTGGCGTAACCGCCTCCCGGCAGCCTGGGTTCCTGCTGTCCTAGCTGTGGGCACATGACGGGGTCAAGCTCTTCCTCCTCACGGGCCCTCCCCCTGGCCCGGAATCTCCCTGACTAGTTCTGTGCTCTGTGCCTACTCGATAGCCCAAGAAAGGTGGAAGGCTAGACATAGGTCTTGAGATCCTGGCCCTGGTGACCTTGAGTGTCACTGCCTGCTGGGCCTCAGCATCCTCCTCTGAGAACGGATGGGCCGTCCTGTCTCTGTCCAGGGCCTTGGCGGGAAGATCTGAAGGGGAGGGGTACTAGGAGGTCATCTCTGCAGACCCTGGTGACGCCAAGTGGTGGCTGTCTCTTCTCCCGTGCTGGGGCTGTGGCTGGGATCTGCGGATATGAGGCGCCCTTCCACTCCCACCCTGCCTGCCGTTCTAGGGAGGCAGATGCTAAGTCATGGCTCCGTCTGGCTCCAGTCTAGCTGGGTGTGGGCCAGAGACTAGGAAATAAGATAAGGAGGGGAGCGGGGAGGGAGGCAAGGCTTCTTGCTGCCCTTGCTTCCTGATAGCACAGCCTTGCCGTGTTTCCGTGACCTGGGGCAATATTACTCAGACCTGTGGCATCCCACAGTCTGTACTGTGGGGAAGCCATAATTGTGGCTTGGCTCTGGGTCACCCTGGAGTCCTATCTGGAGCTGTTCACACCCTCGGGGGAGTTTTGGCCTTTAATCTGGCCCTCCAAAACCCAGGTTTTCCCAGGCAGAGGTGACAACCGGAGTCCCAGATGCCTTAGTGAGGACCGATAGCCCTTTGCCCCGTTTTCCCTGCTGAGTGCCCAGCTTCCATAATCCATGGAGTCCTTACACAGCCCTGCAGGAATAATCATCTGCTTCCTTTGCACAGGTGAGGAAATGGAGGCTGAGAGAGGTTGAGCCACCGGCCTAAAGTTGCACAGCCAGTAAATGGGAAACAGGAATTTGACTTCCATCTTCCTGACTCTGCTGACTTCTACTGGCTGCGTGCGGTAGGACCTCAGTAGCTGGGTTGTGATTGAACCAGCTGATAGGGAGGCAGACCCAGCTGTGTGTCTGGGGCGTGTTGTTCAACCTCTCTGGGCCTCAGTTTCCTCATCTGTACAATGGGCACAGTACCCACCTCTCAGGATCAAGGTGAGGATTGATCGTGGTGCCAGCAGGATGCCTGGCACATGGTAGGTATGTCTCAGTGTTTACCACCTCCCACTCCCTCCCAGCTCCGTGGAGTATAGATGCTTCGGGACACAGGCGGGCACACGCATGCCCCAAGCAGAGACCCGGACTGGGAAGGGGAAGGAAACTGCCGTCATGCCCAGCCCCTGCCCCTGCTGACCCGTTGGGCCCACACTGGACACACGAAAGGCATTCCAGAAGCTCTGTGGATGTCTGCTCAGCGGCTCTGCTCAGTATTGCGTGCTGTGTGCCCTTGACAAATCACTGCCCTTCTCTGAACCTTCATTGCTTATCCATAGAATAGAGTAACAACCCCACACTCTTGGGGTGGGTTGAGGATCCAGCGAGGTAGCCTGAGGATGTGCCCGCATGAGGCCTGGCACGGTCAGCTCCCAGCTCCTCCCTGCCTTTGCCACTCGTTCATCACCTGTGGGGTGTTCGTCTCCCCCCTGGGGCCCCACCCTCTTTGTGAGGGGGGCCCTGAGGGTGGGCTGGTGTGGGTGCTGCAGGGCTGCTGATGCTGGAGGATGAGGAGCATGATGGGAACCGACCCCTGGCTGGTTGGGGAAGACCATGGAGGGCAGGAGAAAGGGGGTACCCAGGGTCCAGTCCCCCAAAGACCTTCCATAGCATCTGATCAATTTGAACCTCTGGGAGAAGGGCAGAGTTCTTCAGTCGGGCGATGGGAGAAGGGCATTCCAGGCCGCACCTGCTGTGAGCGGGGAGCTGGATTCGGAGAAAACCAACTGGCTGCTCAGGGGGCCCCCCAGTCTGTCAGGGGAGGTGGCGAATCTCCACGCTGACAGTGAGGTCTCCTCTTGGCTTCTCCGCAGGACATATGTGAGGACCCCCGCCTTTTTGTGGACGGCATCAGCTCCCACGACCTGCACCAGGGCCAAGTGGGCAACTGTTGGTTTGTGGCGGCCTGCTCGTCACTCGCCTCCCGGGAGTCACTGTGGCAAAAGGTGAGGTGTGGGGTGGGGCCCTCACCGCTTGGACAAGGGAGGTGCAGCCTGAACTTGCAGAGGTGACTTTATGAACACTTGTGCAGGGGTGGGGCGTGGGGTGACACCAGGGCTCCCGGCGTTGGCTGAGCAGCAGAATCACCTTTCCCTCACCTGCCAGCTGAGGATCCCCAGGCCTAGGTGCTGGCAAGCGGTGTGGCTCCCAGGGGATGTGTCCCCACCTGACATGTGGGGGCCCACAGCGTCCCCGTAGCCACTTGGTGGAATATTCACGTGTGAAATGTGGAAGCGACCTGAATCATGTGCGGTGTGGAGACCCCAGTCATTGGGGTTCAGGAGACCCCCTGCCAGTACCTGCTGTCGAGACTTGGCCAGTCCTTGCCCTTATCTTGGCCTCAGTTTCCTCACTTGGTCAGCAGGAGTGGTTCAGATGATTTTGTTCCGTGATTCTTGGTTCCAAGCACTGATGTTCTCGAGCGGCACCGAGAGTTTAGGCTGGGAAGAACTGGCTCTCTCGTGACGCTCCGCCCGCTTGTGACAGCACTCGGCAGTGCAGCCCCTTACCCCCACACTGCACGGTCCCTTCTTGGGGAGGCAGGGCTGCTGGAGTAGACGCTGGAGTGCTGGTCTCTGAAGAGTAATCAGCTGGGACTGCATCCTGGGTTCCCGTGTCAGCAGATACAGGTCGTTGCCCCTTGCTCACCCCGGCCCTTCCTGCTCTTCCTACGAGGAACTGACGGCAGGGCTGACCAGCTCCGGGCACCTCGGCCTTGTGGCTTGGGTTGGAGCCCCCGCCTCGCCATGTGGTCGCTATTAGCGCCGGTTACTCATCCGGAAAACCAGGATATGAGGGTAGCTCCCTCTCAGGGAGTTTGTTAGGGCAAAACGAGACACTGTTCTCAGGGTGCAGTGCTCAGGGAATGGTGTCTGCATTGCCAGTGTTATGATAATTAATATTCATACAACATAATGGGTATTCCCAGGCAAGCAGGGACCAAGGAGCAGTGCGTTTGTTTTTATTGTCTGTGGCGTCCCTCAGCCATCAGAGGGAGCTGTGCCCTTAGCCGAGGCTGGGACTGTCGCAGGTGCTCTATTTTCGTGTCTTCTGGACGGGGGGTGTGACCTTTCAAAGCCACCCTGGGGTGGGTATTCCTGGAGCCTGGCTCCTGATGGTCTGTAGGGACACAGGTGCTGTAGGGCCCTCAGCAAAGGCCACTGCTGAAGCCTGTAGACATGGGTAGTTGTAAGATGTCCACGTTGGGAGGGCCTCAGAGAGCCACACGTGGGATCGTTTCACTGGGGTTGGGGCTCAGTGCTGTTCGCTGGGTATAGAGCTATCCTTGCCCCCCTGATTCCAGGCTCCAGCCCCCTTCTCTGAGCCCAGAGCAAGGTCCTCCTGCCTCTGAGCCCACCCCTAGTCTGGTCAGGGCTCCGTCTGGGGCTGGAGGTGGCACACAGGGATCCTTCAGGGCTGGCCCTATACTTCCCACCTGCCCTATAATCACCTGTTTACCTGTGGTCTCCCTTCTTGAGATGAGCTCCCCCTGGGCAAAGCTGGCCCGACTACATCTTGTCGGTGAGCCCAGCAGGAGCCTGGCACAGAGAATGCTCAAGAAAGTTTTGAGAGCAGAGCCCTTCTCCAATTTGTTGGACCCAGCTACTGGCCAGCAGCCCCACAGCCCGCTTTCCTACCCTGTGTCTCGTGGGGCCAGAGCCTGACCCGCTGTGTCCCCTCCTGGGGAATGGGCTCTCTAGCCATTGTAGGGAGGAGCCTCAGCTTGCTGTGTGCTCTGTCCTGGGCCTGGCCTTAGGCAGTGCCCTGGGGCAGCTCCCCATCTAGTGAGTGGAGGAAGGGGCCCCAGACCCACAGGCGGGAGGTCTGTCATCCATGCTGTGGCAGGTCTGTGTTCGTCTCTGGGCTGAAGGTTCCTCCTGCAGGATGTCAGGGCACCGGGCCTGGCTGGTCTCGAGCCTTCAAGGGCCAGGAGGCAGACCTCCAGGAGCTTGGGTCCCCAGGGGGCTGGAGCAGAGCAAAGTGCTCCTGGCTAATTGCACTCTGCCTCCGGGTGCTGTTGTGGTGACAGCTCCCGGGTCCTAGAAGGAGGCGGGAGGCCCTGGGGAGCTTATTACTGTGCCTTGCCTCCCCTCCTGTCCCTGCTGACCGGGCCCTGTTTGTTGTCACCCCTCACTTTAGGGCACGTGACCCTGCAGGGCCTCCCCTGCCCCACCCTGTTTCCTCCATGGAACAGGGGTGCTCGGCCTGAGCTGCACCCCTCCTCCCCCAGCCTCCTCACTCTGGGGCTGCCTAACCTCACATGCTGCTGCATCGGCCCTCAACACCCGTACCCCCTCCTCGAGGAAGCCACCCCCTTACCTCTAGTTCTTGGTGCAGCCTGGGGCTGGCGGGCACAGGATTTGAAACCAGCCAGGCCTGGGTGTGATTCTGGCTGGGGTCCATGTCGTTACATGCCATCGGGCAGGTCAGGTTCCTACCCCTTGCCTTGGTGTCAGCCTGACCTTTCTAGTCCCCAGGGTTGTAGGAGGAAGAAAGAGCCTGTTGGTGGGGGGGGAAACCTGTGGCATTTCACGGCAATTTACACGTGTTAAATCCTCCTCCCTGCCCCACCTCTGTGTGCCCCGCCTGTTTCTCTGTTCTGTGATGCACCCCTTGGCAGTGGGCCTCCCCCTCCTGTGGGATCCCTGGTAGGGGCATATTGGTCTTCTCACCTTGACTATGCATTCTCTGAGGGTGGGACAGTGGGCTTTCGGGTGACCAGGTTTTGTGGACCAGAAATCAGGATGTGACAGTGGGACAGGGCGTCTGCTATCAAGCGTGACCTGGCCCAAGCCAGACCCAAGGTCCTTTGTGAGCTCACCTCCCCCAGAGTCTGGTGCAGTCCAAGGCCTGATCCCTGCCCCTAGCCTCTCTGGCCGGAGGAGAAGAGAGCAGAGAGAAAGTGAGGGCCTGGATGTCTGAGAGGGGAGTGTTGGGGGGTGGCCGGTCCTGGGGCTCGGCCTGGGAGAGGCACCTGGTGGCAGGGCTTGGGCTCTTTTTTAGTTCTATTTAAAATGGTTCCCATCCCACCCTTGCCCCTGTTACATGTGCATTTCATGCCCTTTAGCGTCGTGGCAGTTCGCTCATCCCAGTTTAACTGAGCACCAGCTATGCCCCGAGCACCATTCTAGGTACTGGGGACAGAAGGTTTGAATAAATACAACGTTGCTTAAGGTTTCCTTTAGCCAGAAACAGCCAGCATTAAGGGGTTACTGTATTTCCTTCTCGTCAGTTTTTCCAGTTGGGGTTAAAGGGGTGTTTGTTTTGTTTTTCAGTATGTAGTTTTGCAATCACATATGCAACTTGGACCCTTGCTTTTCTCCTGCGTTCATCCCTATGCCAGGCTTTAGTGGGTCTTCCCAAGGTGTCTGGGGGCGGAGCAGAGATCTGTGGATGGCAGTGGGCCCAGCCCCACCTGCAGCCTCCTGCCCCCTTCCTCTCCTCCCTTCCCACTCGGGCCTTCCTCACCTCTCGCCGCCCCTCCCTCCTGCCCTGTGTGTCTGAGGCCCAGACGACTTCCACCTTCAGCCTCCTCCGGGGGGTCGGTAACCCGGCCAGGCTGAGACCAGGCTCTCCCCAGGGTCCCCACCAGTAGAAACTGAACACCTCCCCCAGCATCCCACAGGTCCAGAGATGGGGCTGGCATCCTCTCTTTCCTCAGTGCTGCTTCCAGACCGCACCCTCCACTCGTAAACCCCTCCAGGCTTATGCCATTTGCTCCCTACGCTCCACAGCGACCCAGCTGCCACCCAGGCACCGAGGGCTCGGCACCACCAATTCCCCAGCCTTTTCCACCCCAAATACTGCTGTGTCCCAGGGATTCCTCTGCCTGTGCGGCTGGCACCCCGCCCTCACCATCCCAGCCTCAGATCCTGTCTGTATCCCCATCAGCCTTCACCCTCAGCCGCCCTCACCTTCCAGGCATCTCCCTCATCCTGCACTTTGACACACACCTGCCCCCAAACCTCATTTTTGGCTTCAGTCATGACTCCGTTCTTTCCCATCTACGCAGATGTCTTCCTCTGGTCGACCTTGGCCCCTAACACATCGGTTCTCTTATCAGTGTTATTTATTCATTATTCATTCAACAAGCATTTTCCCAGGACCTCCTGTGTGGCATGCTCTGTTCTGGGTGCTGGCTTAATTTAACAGTAATTCCTCAGCCGTGTTGCTCCCTGCAGCTAGAAAGATTCTTTGAGGGTCAGGCAGTTTGACTTCTTGCATTCTCTCGAATACCCTCGGGGAATTGCCACCAGCGACCCCCAGAGCTGACCTCACGGCTCGAGGTGTTATCTTAACAGGACCAGATGCTCTGTCTCCCTTGGTGACCTTGGTGACACTCTTGTTCATGTAGCCCAAGATCCCACTGGCTGATTTAGCCTCCATCTAGCAGTGGTCTGTGCTTGTGGTCCACTAGACCCTTCTGATCGTTTTCAGCTCTTAACACTTTGGCCTGTGCCTCTGTCCTCTTTTCTGTGTGTGGCATGTCATGGCACCTTCCCCTCTCCCCTACCCCGCTCCCAGATGCACTCACGTATTCCACTTCTTCCATTGACCGGAACGTAATAGCTGAACTGATTCCACCTCAGGCACTGGAGATAAGGACGTTTGTCAGATTCTTCCTTGGCCTCAAGTCCCCCGGGGGAGACTGAGGCTTGATATAGGTGGAATAAGTGGTGGGATTCTAGTGGGAGGAGACCTGGGCGTGGGGCTGCCGTGGGGTGCAGCGTGGAGGCAGGGCCGGCAGGCAGGAATCACGTGGGTCAGTGATTCTCCAAGCACCGTCCCTGGACCGGCCACATCAGCATCACCCGGGAGGCTGGTCGAAGTGCAGATTCCTAGGCCTTGTCCGCCCAGTTAAGTCAGAAGCGCTGGGGCTGGAGCCCAGCAATCGTGTTTCAGTCCTGCAGCTGATTCTGATGACCTCTGAAGTTTGGGAACAAGGGTTTAGGTCAGAGATGGTGGTGGCCAGGCCAGTCCTGGTAGTGGGGCTGGGGGGAGGGTTCTCAGGGACCCTGGGAGTGGGATCGAAGGCCTTGGGGGTTGAGTGTGGAGTGGTGAGGGTGACTCTGGGTCAGAGTGGCTACAGGGTTTGTCTAGGGTGACTTTACATCTCAAATCAGTAGGCCTCTCCTTCCTTGCTCCCCCCTACCCTCCTGCCAGGGTGTCCCCAGTAAAGCCTCTCTCCTTACAGCGAGCGGCTGCTCCCCACCTCCCGCCCCTTCTTTCTGCCCCACGCAGCCTCCCTCCTTCACAAATGAGCGCTCCCAGCCCTTCCCTGGGAGTCAGGTAGTCGGGCGGTTACCACAGCAAGTGACATCAGCAGTCTGGTCCCCAAGGAGCCCTGCCGCCTCCCGCCTGCCTGCAGTGCCTGTGTTACGGCCTCTTCGAGGCGTAGAGAGGAGGCGTTTGGGGACTCCCACCCCCATTTTGAGGGTTGGGCAGGGCCGGGAAGGGCCAGTGGCCAAGAGGGGAGGGGACGGGGGAGGGCGGAAGGGTAGGTGGGGCGTCTTTGGTGGCCTCTCGCCCTGGCAGCGAGGCCCCGGCACACCGGGCTCCCAGACGGCGGAGGAACAGCAGCAGCTGGGCATGGCGGAGGACGGGCCCAAGCCACTGCAGCTCAACATGCCCCTGGTCCTGGACCACAACCTGACCAGGCAGATGCGGCTGCGCGTGGAGAGCCTGAAGCAGCGCGGGGAGAAGCGCCAGGATGGCGAGAAGCTGCTGCGGCCGGCCGAGTCTGTGTACCGCCTTGACTTCATCCAGCAGCAGAGGCTGCAGTTTGAGCGCTGGGACGTCGTGCTGGACAAGCCGGGCAAGGTCACTATCACGGGTACCTCCCAGAACTGGACGCCCGACCTCACCAACCTCATGACACGCCAGCTGCTGGACCCTGCTGCCATCTTCTGGCACAAGGAGGACTCGGACACCATGGATTGGAATGAGGCCGATGCCCTGGAGTTCGGGGAGCGCCTGTCGGACCTGGCCAAGATCCGCAAGGTCATGTACTTCCTCATCGCCTTCAGCGAGGGCCTGGAACCCGCCAACCTCAAGGCCTCCGTGGTCTTTAACCAGCTCTGACGGCAGCTGCTCGCTGCTGCCCCCTCCCCGTGCCAGCCCTGCCCGTGCCCCCTGCCCCGAGGTGTGTGTTTGAGGACGTTCTTCTAGCTGCTGGCCTGTACTCAGCTCGCCCGGGACCCCCTGAGCCTGTGTCCTTCCTCCTCTCCTCTGCATGGTGCTGGCGCTCCTGCTCACGGGAGGAAGACGCAAAGGACTTGTAGTCTAGAAGCTGGACCGGTGGCTGCTGCTTCTGCTGTAGACCACGAAGCCTGGTTGACCTTGTGTGGGCAGACGGAGGGGGCCGAGCGCATTTATTTTCTCTCTGCTTCGCTGTCCGGACAGAGACTCAAAGAGACCGAGAGAGGCAGACATAGACACGCAGAAAGAGAAATCCAAGTTCCCTGCCATCGGACTTCCTCTGGAGATGGGAGATGGGGAGACTGACGACAGAGCGGCCTCCTTGGGGAATCCACACAGGGGCATTTGGTACCCTCCTGGCGACAGAAGTCCAGAGGTGAACACTCAGCCTGAGGACCCAGGAAGGCACTTACTCCTGGCCCGGGCCTGGTGTGGTCCCATGACGCCCCAGGGGCCTCGGGACTTCAGGCAGGGTTGCTGCGGGGCTTGATTTGGGCAGTGGGGAGTGACTGGCAGGCTAGCAGCTATGCTTGCCAACTCTTGCTCTTTGGAGAACGACTTCAGGAGGGAGAAGTGACAGGGAGAGGACATATAACATGTTACAGAGGGATGTCTCTATCTGTACTTGTGCATATATATTGAGAGAGAGCACGCTATATTCATAAGGCTATATTCTAGAGTCTGTACCTGCTCTGTGTGCAAGTCTGATTTTAGATGATCTATTATGTAGTTGCCCAGCTGGTTTGCGGGTGGCCCTTAGCAGGGGCTTGGCCAAGATGGCCTTGGGGAGGGGGACCCCCTGAGCTGAGAGCCTGTGAGGTTCATACAATGAAGTGGGGAACAGTATAGTGAAGGGGTCTCCCTCTGCCTGGGGAAGCTAGATAGCTGGGAGCTCTGGAGCAGGAGACAGTAGATTCTTTGCTGGGATGTCAGGTTTCTTCCAGGTTCCCAGGCAGGGAAGGCACAGGCCCAGTGAGCCTTCTTTGAGGGAGGGGCAGGCCTGGCTGGCACCTCAGGAAGTGACCCCAACACCCTGTCTCCAGGCCAGCCCTGGTTTGTTCTTGTCAGAAACAGGCCCATTTTCCTCACGAAGCAGAGCCATCGAGGGCTGCAGGACCCTGTGAACAGACACCCTGAGAGATAAAGGTTGAGAGCCATCCCAGTGGCTGGGGCTGCTGGGAGGGCGAGCCCCCACTCTGGAAATGTGCAAAGAGGAGCAGGTATTGGAGTTGGGATTCTTTTTTTTTTTTTTTCTTAAGTTTTATTTATTTTGAGAGGGAAAGAGTACACAAGTGTGGGAGGGGCAGAGAGAGAGAGGGAGAGAGAGAATCCCAAGCAGGCTCTGCACTGTCAGCACAGAGCCCGACGCAGGGCTAGAGCCCGTGAACCGTGAGATCGTGACCTGAGCCGAAATCGGACGCTTCATGACTGAGCCACCCACGCGTCCCTTGGGATTCTTTAGGTGGGAATTGGCTGTGGTCGTTTCTGACTTTCAGCTCTGGGGCCTGAAGTCCCAGCAATGCCTGCCTGCCTTCTCTGCTGACAACTAGGGGAGTCCAGACCCCTGGAGATGGCGCTGCCCTTTGCCTTTTTGCTGCTCTGGGGACCCTCATGGTGCAGACTACCTGTACCCCCACTCTGCCCTACCGTATCCACCCCATGCGCTGCGTGTCCCCAATAAAGCCTCTATTCCCCTGCCTCGCGGTGTGCAGTCTCTCACCGCGAGCCACCCCCACCGCTTCAGGAGCTCTGACAGCCCTCTTCAGTCCCTTCCTAGCCCTGAGCGCCCCTCCGGGGCCTTCTCCCACATTCCCATACCCGCCTTGCGGCTTTCAGAGATGAGACCTAGAGCAGTTAAGTGACTGGGCCAAGGTCAGACATCAGGATGGAGTTTGGAAACAGATCTCCCGACACCCAACCAGGTACCAACACCCCTGAGAGTTTTTTCTCCAGAGGCCCCCAGACCAGCTTCTGTATGGGACGTGGAGAGAGCCATGCTGGGGCCCCAGGGAGGCGGCATCTGGTCCTCAGCAGGTGGGGCCCAAAGGGGATGGGTGGGAATGCACCAAGCCACGCACAATCTCCCTCCCTTGTAGGGTGGCTGGGCAGGGGGCGGATGGGACAGGGAGTGGCGGGGGGGGGTGGTGAGACCTAGGCTTGGGTTTCACTGAGCCTCTGTCATCCATTTAATACAAGTCCATCGGGCAGCCCCTGCCCTGATGACCAGATAAGACACCACCTTAGTGCCCCACTTGACCCTTCATTAGGACTCTGTCCCCTTGTCATCTGTCTGGAGCTCACTCGTTTTGGGGCAGAGACAAAGAGGCCCAGAGGATGAGGTCACTTGCCCAAAGTCACAGAAGGTATGGAGGGGCCAAAGGAGGGGTACATGTGTGCACCAGACTTTGTGGCCCCCTGGAAGGGGCGGGGACGGTGCCCCCACCCCTCCTGAGGGCCCAGGCCCTGGCAAGGCCAGCTTCTTCCCAGTGACCACGGTCAGGTCCTGCTTCAGGGGCCACACTTGGTGTTTTGCTGGGGAATGACCTTCACTTTGAAATGCTCCCCGCAGCCAGGTCTCACATCCCCACCCTGCACCCTGGAGCCCTCCCCGGGTCAGCTGTGGCCACCTTGTTTCTCTTCCCCAAGCCCTGCCCTTCCAGCCACAGCCTCCATCCACTCCCAAAGATGCCTCTGGAAGGGGTGGGGGCAACGGAACCCAGTCCTTCCACCCCTATTCTCCTCCCCGGCAGAGACAAGACTGGGTCAGGAGGAGTGCAGTGGACGGGAAATGAGGACCCATTTTCCATGGAACCCACAAGAACACAGAGTGAAGACACTTGCCGTTTCCTGACCTTCGCCACCCCCCCGCCCCCGCCAGGCAGTGTGTGCGGTGGCGAGGGGCCTGCCACTGACCACCTGTGACCCTGGGCAGCCTCTCTGAGCCTGTTTCCTCGTCTGTTGGCAGGAGTTAATGACGGTGCCTCCTTGTAGGGCCCGTATGAAGCTTAAATGAGTTAGTAAAGCACTCAGAGCCCCTCATGAGCTGGTACACGACGCCCTCTCTCCGTTTGCTCATTGTTACTCTCCCAGTCACTGTAGACACATGGTCTCACTTTTCAGTTATTCTGAGAGGAGTTCAGGACAACCTGTGTACAGAGGAGGAGCACAGAGTTCAGAGAGGTGAAGGGAGTTGTAACTGATGTAACTGATGTAACACAGCAGCCCAGTGCTTCTGGGAGCAGACAGTGTGGGGAGGGATGGGCAGGGGCCAGGCCTGGCTCTGGTTGGAGAGTGGACAGGAGGGTGTGGATTCTTCTCCGACACTGTCACCAGGCTCAGGATGGGCACAGTTGAGGGGATCTTTAGCCCTCACAATGTAGCAGGGAGCCCAGCAGGGGTGGGGGGGGCTGCCTCAAGGCTGGGGTCCCACGCAGGTCTCTGAGGGCAGCTGAGTGTCTGGCTGTGCCCTGTGAACAGGAAACCCTGGGCCCCTGCAGGTGCATCACCTCCTGCTTTCCAGCTGGCGAACGACGCGGCTCTGCTCTCCGAAGGGTGTGGGGGGGAGGAGGGCAAACTTCCTGGCCTCGTCCGGTCATGGCATCTGAAACTCGGGAATTTGAGACTCTTGGAATCAGAAGCTGCGAACTGAGGAACCAGGAACCTTCTGGTTTGGGGACTCCCCTCACCTGACTCGGGTAACACAGGAAGCCCCACTGTAGCCTGACAGCCTGCAGCCCTGCTGGCCTTTTACAGAAATGCTCCCAGTTAGCCCTCTGGGGTCGCAGGCAGAAATCTGTGAAAAGCTCCTTCCCTGTGGGGGGGCGCGCCCGCCCGCCCCCCGCCCTGGTCACTCTCTCTCTCTCTCTCTCTCTCTCTCTCACACACACACACACACACACACACACACACACACACACACTGGTGCTCACACACATGCATGCTGTGTGCACCCCCATACACTGACTGTCATGCACTTGCACACTCACACCTGCGTGTCCCATGGCTCAGTCCCAGGAGGATTTGAGCCTGGAGTGCTCCAGGCACCAGGGCATCAGGGGGTGCTGTGGCACACCCGTCGCCTGAGGTTTCTGGGCTGATTTTGTAGTGGTGCCAGGGGGCCTACAAATCCCACACAGTCCTTTCCTTGCTGCTGGGTCAGCCCAAGTAAGTGCCCTGACCCCTCAGGCCTCTCTTTTCCCATCTGCACAGGGGGCTGCTGCTGATGTTTCCCCTCTTGGGAGGCTTGACCAGGTACCTGAGGTCCGTGCCAGTCCCAAGGTTTGCAGATTGTTGTGTGAGTGCACGCGCTTGTCCCACATACCCCAGCGGGGATGACCCCTCACATGTGCACAGCCCTCCACGGTTAAGGCAGCACCTCTGAGGCCACTGTCCATTTTGGTTTGCTTTTCTTTCTTTTTGTTTTTAATTTTTTTAATGTGTGTTTATTTTTGAGAGAGACAGAGCGTGAGCGGGGGAGGGGCAGAGAGAGAGGGAGACACAGAATCGGAAGCAGGCTCCAGGCTCCGAGCTGTCAGCACAGAGCCCGACGCGGGGCTCTAACTCATGAACCGTGAGATCATGACCCAAGCTGAAGTCGGACCCTTAACCGACTGAGCCACCCAGGCGCCCCCATTTTGTTTTTCACATCAGCCCTGGAGTAGGGTAGGCAGATGCCTACACTGAGGCTCAGAGCGGTGGCCTAGTCGGAACCTAAGTCTTTGCCGTGCACCGTGATTGGCAGTGTGTCCTTAGTGGGTACAAGGTCACCAGCCGGTCAGGGCTGTGCTGTGGCTGGCACTTGGAGACTTTCCTTCCGGAAAGACTTGGCCGGCTGTGGAGCTGGGCCAGGCCCTATGCTGGGTGGGGTGCTGGGTGGGTGGGGGGGATCTGGGTGTGAATGGAGCTCAGCTTTGCCCTCCAGAAGCTCCCTTCCCAGGATCAGGGAAAGAGCGTGCGGGAGCACCAGGCCTGGAGACCCCTGCAAGCTGCTGCTGAGCTATCCCCTGAGGGACAAGGATTGGGACAGTACTGCCAGCGGGAGCCACATGAGCAGAGCCGAGGTGGCCTGAAGCAGCATGTGTGTAGATTTCCATGGGGCCCGAGGGAAGGAGGCAAGTGTTCAGCACGAGCCTGAGAGTCAGCGGAGCCCCAGGGCTGTGGATGCCAGGCTGAGGAGCTGGTGGCCGTGGAGATGGGGCATTTCACTTGGGAGGCGAGAGATGTCTTCATGTGCTCCCTCGTACCCATCCCTCGGCCTCAACAATTGTCAGCTGGCAGTCGGTCTTGTTTCCTCTTATTCCCTCCCACGCCCTCCAGGCAGCTTCCCATTTCATCTGTAAATATTTCTGGATGCATCTCTGAATGATCAGGAGTCCTCAAAAACAAAAACAAACAAAAAAAAACAAAGCTCTGTAACCATAATCCTCTAACACAACTCAAATCATTTTACGATACTTCCTTCATAGCGTCAAATACCCAGTAAGTGTTTTGGTTTCCAATTTCTGCCATAAACGTGTATATGTTTTAAGCTTTGCTGGAATCAGATCCAAACGAAGGTCCGCGACTCCAGTGGTTTGTTTCCCTTCATCTTTTATTGTTTTCCTTGAGATTTCTTTGCTGAAGCCACCTGGCCTGTCGAGTTTCCAGCTATCTAGATTTTGCTGCCTTTGTTTTTGTGGC